AATTAAATGGAAACGGCAGTTAGAAACATTATTACCTACCCATTTACATTGCGACATGACTTTTTAACTCTTACTTTTTGATATACTCCTGTTTTGCACGCATCTAAAGAAGTGATAATGTTCATTCTAGCGGTTTCCTTGTTTGTTCAGCGATGAAAAGATATATATTGCCTCAATAGAAATTAATCATCCCTTTGGGTGATAGTTCTACAAGGATGTTTTAATAATCGGTTTTATAAGAATGATGGAGAGAAAAAATTTGAGTATATAATTCGCATAAAAAGTCGGATTGTATTTCATTTCAAAAAAACTATAGCTAAAACAGCCCAGTGAAAAAGTCATGTCGCAATGTAAATGGGTAGGTAATAATGTTTCTAACTGCCGTTTCCATTTAATTGGTTAACAGATATTTTCCATATTTTACAAGGAATTAAATGTTTCAGCAGAGAAAAAATAAGCACACAAAATGTACGGCATCGCACTGAATCCTGCTCATGAAGATGGATATCCTAAAACTATGTTCACATCTGTTCAGTCCAAAGTTCTTGTCATCAGCTTTTTATTTTATTTCATTTAGATCACGATTCCAAGTGAATTAATTGGTTCAATTCCTCGCCCGGATGATTTGCTTGAAGCCACTATTAACTATGAAAGTGATGTTATACCGCGCGAAGTATTGCATGAAGTACAACTGAAAGCAATTGAAGCAACTGTTCGGGAGCTGGATGCAATAACTGGTTCCCCAGTTGTGACAGATGGCGAGCAAACAAAACCATCATTTTTAACCTATCCCATTTATGAGTTAATCTACGAGCGTTATCGATTTGATGATAAATGTTTCAAAATTGCATTTAGTGATGGTCATATTCGAACATTACCGCGTCTCATCAAAGCACCATTTCGTTATGCAACATTTGCGCACAAGTATTTAGATGTTGCTAGACGCTTTACAAAAAAACCAATTAAGCAAGCTGTTATAACAGCATCAGCATTATCAATGGTCTATTCGCCAACGCTACTAAACATGTCAGCCATTGACGATTATTCAAGAGAACAGTTTCTTCGAGATTTATGTGATGAATGTGAGAAGGACGTTCGGTTATGTTTAGGTAAGAGTTATCATGATCCATTATATCAAATGTTTTCCTACTAGCAGTAGAAAAAAATCAGACAGTTGAAATGAACTGCTTAACTGCTGTAGACACACTTCAATCTTTTATTTCTCTTCACCCAAAGGAAAAAGGATTAGATCAATCTCAATGATATGGAAGATGTTTCACATTCTTAGCTAAACGTGTACTGTATGAACATTAGTATTACTACTACTAGAAGGGTCTATTTGCTCAAAGAATATTCTGTTCTAATGACAGATCGAATATAACGTTTTCAGATCATGGTGCGCATGTTGTTCAGTTAGATTTTACGGAGGCTCGTCTATCACTGAAAGTCGATCCTTCTGGCCAATTATTAAAAGAATTTATTGCCATAAATAATCGAGTATTAGATCGTTTTAATACAGAACAACAAAAAAAGATTGGTGTTCACGTCTGTCCAGGTGGTGACTGCGATTCATATCATTCCTATGAAATTGATTATACACTCATGTTACCCGACTTATTTAAATTACATTTAACAAACTTTTATCTACAATTGTCATCTGAAAAAGATCATGTTAAAATTCTGAAATGTATTCAACAGCATATGAAACCAAATCATCGAATATTTGTGGGCGTAGTGGATCCTGTGAGCCCGAAAATCGAAACTGCTGAAATAGTTCGTGATCGAATTTTGGAAGCTGCTCAATATATACCATGGGAGCAATTAGGTACAACAGATGATTGTGGATATTCGCCATTTGCTGATGATCGATCGACATCGAGAGATCTGTGTTATGCGAAAGTGAAGGCAAGAATTGAAGGTACAAAACTAGCTGAACAAATATTGAATTCTAGAAAGAATTAAATGTTTGCAAAAAGACAAGACTTCTAATAAATGTTGTTTGTCACTCTGTTGTCTTGTGGAAATGTTAGATGATACTTGCATATCATGGCTAAAAACAAACTTACACAAGCATTTCTTGAAACTGAATCGTAGAAAAATTGCAGATTTTTTTGGTTTAGAGATGTACACTCTATCAGCAATTGAATGTTGCTTATATTCTAAATTTTTTATGCCTTCGATGTTGTACTTATTATTGAGAAATTGTATCTTCTCGTAGTTGTAGTACTGTTGTATATTGTTTTATTGTACTATTATATATTTATGAATACAATACACAAACGCATCCTTATACAAGCCTGACCGATATATGTGTGCATTGTATCAAGCACGAGAAGTGTGCGTACTGATATAGATTATAATGTAATTTGCGTCGAACGTTGTTTCTTCAGGCGAAAAATCGACTTTTTTAGTCTGAAACCAATGTGTTTCAATACGAGATGCAAGTCACAGCACATGAAATATCACTTGTGAGTGAAAGCTCAACTCAAAAATGTGTGAACGTTTTGAATCTGTTAATCTGTAGGTCCATTCCATATTGTATTTAACGTTTTGATGATAGTAGTGTCAAAATTTGAACCGAATTCGACATAGTTCAGAATGAATGTGCATGTGATGCACAAGTAGTTTTATAGATGCGAATCAGCATCTTTTCCATTAATTTGTGTCTTCTCACTTTCTCTGGTCTCAATGAAATATCTCATATCGTACATAGGCAAAGCAACTTCTCATAACGGTGACTGGAATAAGTTCACTGTGCAAGTGGAAGACATAGTCTCTACGCATTGAGCAAGCCAGATAATCTTTCTATATTTCAGAAATGTGTGTTGGATGCAATGCACTATGCAGGACGAGTTCCAAAATTGTTATTGAAAACACGAAGCACTGCGATCGATGCTGTGAAAACGTTTACTGCAGAAAAAGACAGACAGATGCGTTTTCGACATAACACAGCCAACAAAAAGAACGTTACAGTTTTTTCGTAGTCTAGTCTGCGTATGAACAAATACAGTAACATGTTCTTTACTGGATGAACTAGATTCATGAAGAATTTTCTGATAAGTTTTAAAATTGTATATTTGTTTTAACATAAAGTATTGTCGATATAAAAACAACAGACAAATGAACAAAAAAGTCATGTTTGTAGAGATAATTTACATGAAAAGGGTTTTCTTTGTAAATAATAGCAACGAGTATTGTATGGTGATGGTACGGTGTTGTGAAGGGCAGATAAATAAATAATAAAGTATTGTTAGCTGATGTTCTATTCCATTAAAAATACGGGATTTTGTTTATATGTTTCATAATCAGCCATTTTAAAAAACGCGATTTCTGTACCATCAACTAGAATAAGCAAAATGTGAATTATTTACTATCCGTTTGAAAAATCAAGGCAGTCTGCCGTTTCCTGAATAACTGTTTAAGGAAAATACATATACAGGCGGGTGTTCCGTAAAGTAGGAGGCAGGCGAAGCATTCGTTTTTAGTGATTTAGACTGTGCTTTAAAGGCGTTCAAAGCGGACTGGCACTTGGATATGTTGAATAACCTTGAGATTGCATGGAAACATATAGTTATCGCACATGCTCAGTGGCCTACCGATTGTATACGTACGATTAGTGCTAAAGATTTCTGGAAAATCTTTTGAAAAATCGAAGCACTAAGCATTCATATTCAGAACTTTGAGTGAAAATGGGTTAGGTCACTTAATACAGATTTCTGAATTGTCTTCTCAAAACAAACGTTGCCATGATACTTAGTGTAGTCAATAACCTATGGTCAGCTGTTTTTCAGGTTTCTACAAGTCATTTGGCACCCTCAAGACTCTCAAAGAACACTGTCCAGCGCATAAACCATCAAAGTTGAACATCACGCTCGATTCTCATTGTGTAGAAAGAGTTTGAAGTTTTAACCTGTGGAAACGAAGATATTTCTATTTCAAGTTTTTTCGGATACGAACTGATTTATTAAAGATGTTATCAACGCCGTAGAGGTTCGAGAAGAGTTTCGAAATGGTAGGAGGTGACGCTCTCAATTTTGGCTATCGAATAGCGCAGGTCTTAGCTATTTTCGTAATATGTTTGTCAAGAAATGATCGAGTTTTTAGAATGGATAGTTATAGAATACCTACACTATTTTGGCAGAGTCTCAAGGTTCGTCTACGATGTCTCAAAAAAGATTATAATGGACTATGACACACACAATTTGCTGAAGAGAAATTGCTACTTTTTATAAAGTAAAAACCGTGATGCTATTTTAAATCAGAAAACTTGACATTTCAATTGATACACGTTACTTTCGTTTTAATTCTGCTTAAGGGGGGGGTCCCCCATCCGTTTTTTTCCAGCAGTTTGTGGAAGACACTTCAGAGTATATGTCCCAATAAAGCTTTCGGTTTCCGGATTTATAGTTTTTGATAAAAAAATTTTTAAGTTTTTTTCGGGTTTTTTGCCCTATTTTTAAAACTTCAATCAAAACTTCATTTTTTGATATGAAGAGTTGATTCTAGCGTAGCTCGATAGAGAAGATTAATTTGTATACGGAGAAACCCTTTTCGTCGTTTCCGAATGAAGTTTGCCGCAGAAATTTAGCGTTCGCCTTCCCGAGGAAACTTAAAAAGAGGAGCCAAAAGAGCTAAAAGTATTTTTCACCTCGCCTTACCAAGCACGTTTCGCCCGAACCAAGCATTTTGGAGCAAAACTCTGAGTGCAAAAGTTGTTCAGAATCGAATTTTGGAATCCCTGACGAGAGCCTTTTTTTTAAAATTTTTTGTTTTTGATTTTTAAATTTAAAAATACGAAATTTTAAAATTTTAAAAACCCTAAAATTTAATTTAAAAGTCAGAAACAGAAAATTTTAAAAAAAGCTCTCGTCAGGGACTCCAAAATTCGATTCTGAACAACTTTTGCACTCAGAATTTTGCTCCAAAATGCTTGGTTCAGGCGAAACTAGCCGTAAGGTTAGGTAAAAAAATCTTCAATGAGCCAAAAACTAGCAATATTTTCAAGTTTTGAATTTTTTCTTCAGGCCTTCCTGGTTTGTAGAGGACACTTCGAAGTGTATGTTCGGAAGTTTTTTCGGCTTAATAAAATTATTTGGCTGAGAAAAAAATTAATTTACTTAAACAATATTGTTAAATTTTCGACTCACCAGACTTACCGAGCGACCAAAAACGAATTCTAAAATGTTTAAGGTAGTCCATATTGTAGCCCGTGAAATTCTCTGTCAGATGAGGTATTGCTTGAATCTTTTCGTTGCGCTGCTATTTTACAAATAAGACTTTATGCTAGTAGAGTAGGCTAAATTAACGTTAATGAGTACTAATTAGTCAATACCAGGAAGGAAAGAACAAAAATTCTTGCATATTTTCTCGCAATAAATATTCTCCATACATTTTTCTATCGATCTAGGCAAGAACTAAGCTTTTGTGATGAATGGAGGATGGACAGGAATTTTTTTAATAATAATCCCTTGTTCAAAAATTTAACAATATTTTTTTAAGTAATTAATTTGTTTCTCAGCCAAATAATGTCAGTAAGCCGAAAAAACATCAGGACATATACTTCAAAGTGTCCTCTACAAACTGGGAACGTTAGAGAAAAATCTAAATGAGCGGACCTCCCCCCCTTAAGCTGTTAAGTGTATTTTCGCTAAATTGCGCGCAAAATAGATTCAGATAAAATGAGTGCTATTTCTGGTTTATTACTAGAATAATTTTTTCGATTTCAATTTAGCTCTTCATATGCCTGATTGTCTAAGTAAATCTTATGTGATAGATAATCTTACCTATTTTGTAATCTCTTAATGTTTTATCATCCGCAATAAGAAATTGCTCGTCATCTTCTCGTCGGATAACAACATCATTCGTCTAGAAAAAGCAGTTATAAGCCATGTTATTGTCTAGAAAAAGCTGTATAAGACAATTTGAAATACTTACTTTCGCTTGATGTGGATAATGTTCAATTTTTAATGTATCTACGCCAAAAAAACATGATAAACACAAATGAAAAGACAATAGTGTTAAACATACCAAATTCAAATGTTTTAAATGGAAGTGGAATAGTTTGACTTGGTAATGCTAAAATAAAAACTGACAATTATTAATGTGAACAAATGATGAATCAGTATAATTCATTTTCCGATTTCATTCTTTAATATTTTAATGTAACTCTTCTTTTACATACTACTGTGCATATATGTAAGTTTAAACGTTAATAAAATTCTTCAAATAAAAGTAAGCACACCTTTTTCAAAGGTAGATCTACGAACATTTTAAAATAATATTTTTCAATTCACTTCCACGTATTTGTTCATTAAGATTTCTTATAGCAATATGACGAACATTTCGATATTCAAATGAACGAATTAATCTTATTGAAAGTGTAAGACAATTATTCGTAGAATCAATTTTATCTTGAATTTCACTATCATTGAACATTATTTTTAAGTTCTGAACACTGATCTTAAAGAAAACAAATTGAATGAGAATAATTTACTAAGATCAGAAAAATCAAAATAGAAAAAAGAAAAAAATCGTAACATTTTTACCACGAGTTTCTACATCAGTGAAGTTAAATATTTTGACGTGTAATGGTGAACAATGTCAGAAAAGTAACATCACAGATTTTCATTCACTTTCAATATTCAGCTTTTTTCTTATAGTTAAAACACACAAAAATTATAAAAAAAAAACTATAGGAAGGAGTCCATAACAAACAAAACAAGTTTTTCTCTCACTGTTCTTGGAACAAAATAAGTATGTACAAATCAATAAACAAGAGGAAATAATTATATGAGAAGGAAAAGGATAAAATTCTATTGTTAAATTATGATTTAGGTTTTTTCCATTGTTGTTTAACATCTTTGTATAAGTCAATCCAGGGTCTAAATAAAACTTGTGTAAAATCTTTCATCACTAGTTTCATATCATTAATATCTTGTTTTCCTTGACGTTGTATATATCTTACTCCACCTAGAAAAAAAAACAAACAACGAAAATCATCTGTTACAACAAATGAAGAATGTCATTAGACTACTTACCAGCTCTCTGAAATTCTCCTTTTCTTTCTATATATTTGGCTCTTCCACTATGATAAAAGTAAGCTGTTAACTGTGCTGCACGACGTATTGGATACGATTCAGCTAATTTATTTACCAACTGTTCGTTATTCGCTAAATAACGGGCTAAATGACGCCATACCATTTTGAACAAAATAACAACTTATCTAAATCAACACAATAATTTGTAAGCATGTTAAATTATAGTATAAAAATTCTAAATACATAAATGTACATTAAAACCACGTTCACATGCACCATCTCAGTCCGACTTATGTGAATCCCTGTCACATAAAGGCACTAGATTTTTAAATTAAGGGTATCCCATCCCTCAATCTTTTTGTAAAAAACTTTCCATTTTGAGCTGTGCATAGCCTAATCTAGAGAAAAGTTTGACCTATAAAATGAGACCACTCCCAGCTCTTCACGATCTTCCTTGAAAAAGTTATGCAGTTTTTCAAAGCCTAAAAAATCTTGATTTTTAAGTTTCGTAAATTTTTCTCTTCTTTCCTGTTTATTCAAAATCTTTTCTGATACATAGACTGATAGAAGAAAGTCTGCTCTTCAAAACGAGACGTCTTGCAGAATTTATCGATGAATTTTCGTGAAGATATAAGCAGAGCTGCAGAATTTGCCTGTTTGCTCCGACGGTGTCGGGGGAAAACTTATTGATTCGGGGAAATTTTTTGAAAAAGTGGAACATCTTTTTGTAATATATTGCAAAAAGAAATTCTGTTCGTGGATTATGTCAGGGAAGTTTTTGAAAAACTTTTTCTGTCGAGGGAATTTTCCAATCTCACGAGTAGGTTATGTACCTCTGGATATCATGGCATCACCGCAAATGCCCTGAGAAACAGAGCCCTATGTACAATGTGTTTTTCTCACTATGCGTTTTTTTTTATAACCTCTTCAATCCAGTCACATTACGATCAGGGACGCCGCGATAACAGGAGTAGAGAGGGGATCTCCCTCCCTGCTTTCTGAAATCTTTCATTCCCAAATCCGATAAGTTTTTGTGCTGCAATTGAGATCAATAATCAATACTATCTGGCGTATGCTAATAATATAAAATGACGACACAACATTTCTAATAATTATTGGATCGAGCGAGAGAAAAATGAGTTTTCATTTTTAAAAACCAATTGGTACTCTGTTTTCCATGCAAAGAAAAAAACCCTTTTTACATTCCACTTTGGTGTTCAGAATTTCATTTCACTTTGTGACTCATATAACGAACCGTCGCAATATTCAATCATTAATTCTTTTTCTCGTTTTTACTTTGTTTCTGTCCAACAGGTAGTCAGGTAGTTTCTACTTTCATACGAAAGCAAATCAAATTCTTTTTATTACCATAAGAAAGTGAACACACAGACAATTTAGGATTTGAACAAAATGAATCAATAAATGACTCGAAACCTATTTTGACTATCTGAACTTGTCCTCATTAAAGAGAGAGATGAAGCTCAACCCGTTGTATTTTGAGACTTTTTAATTTTGGTACACTTTGTTTTGAAAAATAGAGTGTACACATACACTTTCGGCTCATAAATAGTGTTCCGATACATTCTGACTCTTGCCTAATTCTCATTAGAAACGCTCCGAAGATAAGAATAAATAAAGCTGAGATAGTGCATCGGAACGCACCTTTATCTGAAATGCGTAGATGTTACATGATGATGAAGTCTCCGTTCCTTTTACTATTCTCACAACAATCGAGTGATTCATATACAGAAAAACTACAAAATAAATACATACTCGATTTGCTGAAGTAGGGCAAACCGAAAAAGTGAACCGTTGTTTCCCTTCAGCTACAAACAGTAGCCTCAAGGAGCCAGGATCAATGCAAATTGATGTAGATAGTAGAGTTCTATCGTAGAGCGTAAATTCGTCTTTTTCTTGATGTGGCATGCTGAATCTGTATGTCGGACATATAACATAACGATCCGAATAGAACTCTAATCGCTCCATTGAGCTACTATTTTGAGCTAAATGATGTGCAATGTATTTAGACAAGTAATATAACGAAGGGAAACAACGCAAGATAAGAAAAAAGAGGGGTACGATTAATGACAAATTTCTACTAGCTGTCATATCAAACCAATGATAAGAAAATTCAGACTCTCCACAGTGAATGAATATAGAGGTCAGGTCTACTGATGATCAAACATTAGAAGTAAAACAAAATGAATCAGTTTTGGGTAGTTGACAATTTCCCGCAATATTTGCATATTTCAGATCAAATCCGCCGTCGAAAATCAACTGGAGTTGAGCCATTACGATAGTTAAAATCCGATCAGTAGGTTTCCGGTCGGATCCAGTGTGTTTCCAGCGCGAATCCGACCGGAAATTGACCGGATTGACCGGAAACATCGGTCTGGATCGCTTCATGTGATTCGCAAAATAACGGAGAAGCAAAAAATCGACTAGAAACGTCAAAACGTACAATTTTTCAACTCGACAGACTAGCATTTCGCATGATTTATTGATAAGACGCATACAGTGAACAATGAACAAAGTATTCTATCGAAAATTATTGTTATAGCGGACACCAGGCTAACTTCCAAAGCATTTTCACTATAAAGGATAAAAACAGTAAAAATCAGTAAATTCTAGTCAAAAGTTTATTTTTAACATAATCGTACAGTGTTTGAATGAAAACTGTTATTTCATTCTCGGGTTAACAGTAATTCAACAAACTATTGGTATTCTAGTAGGATTAAGGACCATATTCTGTCAACTTGTTTTTATACAAATCAGAATTCAAGTTTTTGGAAGAAAACCCCCAAAACCTCTATGAAATTTACGGATTATTAAATAATACTTTTCGGCACATCGATGATCTGGTTACAATTAGTTCTGATGGTAAATTTGATCAATATCAGCAGTCCACACACTGGAAGAGTTCATTAAAACCGTAAAAAGGTCTTTGACAAATATATTCAATAACGTTCTCTTTCAGATGTGCCGCAAAAAAACTGATTTAATCAGTTTTAAAATAATATTTCATGATCGCCTTTTTATTTAATTTTATCTATAACTATTATAGTCATTATCTGTTTTATCAACCGTACAGACACATATCAGCTGATTAACATTTTCACTGCCGTATACGTGGTATGACGTATTCACGAATGTTTATCACCGTTGCCAAATACATCGTTCGACGTATTCACCCCTTCGCTCAAAAATTACTGTAGTTCGAACGAAGAAATATACTATGAAAGATACTATGTCTTCATGTACCTACTGCTTTATGCAACATGCAGTGCGCATGCCGTGTATAAGCTCAACAATCAAGGTACAACACTGTTGGTCTACCTTCAGAATGTCATTGAAGAGATGATAACCAATCCTGAAGTGAAAGAGCCAGAGCGTAGATCAAGTGCACCTGAAGCTATGCCTAGATCCAGTACATCAGGACCACCAAGCTCTATTCCTGTAAAGAACCTACAGAGAGCACCAGTCAAAAATTCTGCCACAAGGTTAGATGGGAAAACGGCTCAGCACAAATTGGTGAACATAAAGGGTGGCCCAGAAATCCTGACCCGATTTGAATAGTAGTTTGTTTAGTGAAACAAGTGGTTGTAAATTTGTCGCTATGAAGAAAAGGTGCAGTAAAAGACGCTCTACAAAATTACTATTGATTGACTCCGTTAGCTCATAGTAAGAAAGTTATAGGCTTAGAAATGGGCTTCACAAAAAAAGAATTAACCGTGAACCTTTTTCGTATGGTGGTGCTTACAGTAAAAGTCCCATAACTCCATCAAAACAAAAGATTTTTCGATTGAGTTTGTTTTGTTTTAATCAGAAATGATGCTCTTCTCTACCTAACTGCAAAATCAAACTTCGATCACGTTTTCTGTTTCTTGCTTGGGCAAATTGTCGGAAATGGGAGTTGTCGATTTTTGAACTTCATTCTGGGGCACACCGTCTGCTCTAAAAAAATTTTCTTTTGAAAATTTGAAAGTACCAAACACAAACTGAGTTCTCACTTTTGCTAAGCTTTTTTACGGAAATACAGAAGAACAAGTGCAAGTCGAAAAAAGTACTAAATTTACAAAGTTTCTGTTTTATTGCCTTTCCTATAATTTGCTTAGTTTTCTTGATTGAAGTTCTGAAATTAAAGTTTAAGTACGATTTTTGTAGAGAATTTCACGTCGCTTCTTTAAAAAAAGAGTTTCCTCTAGGGGATCTAAGGAACAGGAGTTAGAGCAAAATTACCGAGACCGACATTATTGATGATACACCCGTTATATGCGAAATGTTTCTAAGCTTATAACTTTCTTAGTATATGAGCTAACGGGATTAATCAATAGTAATTTTATAGAGCGTGTTTTACTGCATCTTTTCTTCATAGAGACAAATTTATAACCACTTGTTTCACTAAAAAAATTTACTATTTAAATCGAGTCAGGACTTCTGGGCCACCCTTTACCACCAACACCAAAGAAGCATAGACCTTCAAGGCCGTATAAAGTGTGCCTGAAGAAGAAAACAAGAAGTGAAGCTAAGTTCATCTGTGCATCCTGCACAGTTCGACTACAGCCAGGAGACTGTTACACCAGATATCATACCCTTAAAGATTACTGAAATTATCTTGAAAATTTCATTGAATTATTTGTATTAAATATTCAATAAAAAAAACTGTATTAAATTGCAGTATCAAAGCTGTTGTATTCTTTTGTGCAATAGCTTGAAAACAACTTCCAAACAGCAAAAAAATACCTGGCGCTGAGGATAAATCCCTTATTTGAAACGCCCGGCAGTAAAAGTGTTCAGTATACATCAAATACAACGAATTATAGCTTTGTAACCAACACTTGACATCAAGCAGTGGCAGTATGTTTCTATCTGCTGCAGGGATGTCAGAATAATTAAGATATACTAATTTTGCAGTTCCAAAATCATTGTTTTAGTAATTAACTGATGAGCTGCATAACAAACATAACTCATAATTCGGATATGCAGATTACATCAGAGTTGTAATCCGTTGAGAATTTTCAAATCTGTTCGGTCCGGCTGATCCAAATTCTAGACCGATTCGGGCAGTTTAAAAAGCTTTCTAAACCGATAAAAACCGGCCCACTCATTAATTTTTTTAACCGATGAAAATCAGTGGTTATAAAAAAACGTTCGTTTTTCTCAATTTGCACGAATTTTTACAATTCTTTCAAGAAGGGAGATCATGTCGTAGCCATTAAAATCCGCAAGCTGTTTGACAGTTTAACAGTCGCATTTCTCCGATTTGGGACGAAGATCCGTTCTCCCGAAAGCTGGTTTCTAATTTTCAGTTTATTTGTTTCGTCCAAATTTTACATAAAAAACTAATGTTTTCGGACACAAAACTAAAGTATACCCTAAAATCTAGAGCCTTATTTTCTAGATGTGTTCGTTAGACATGTGTATAGAAAAAAAAGAATTTGAGTTGAAATGGATAAGAAGAGATATAATAACAAATAAGATTAAATGACACCATTTTGATTGTGCTCTTTAAGGGGGAAAAACAATCCAATTAGAGGAAAAAAGAGTTGAAAAGAACAGAAAAAAATACAGCTGATATTTTGACACGAAGCTGTTTTATTATTTTGATAAAAGCACTAAACTTGCTCTGATAAAGTTCAACTTGTAAAAACCGATCGGTTTACACAATTTCTTTCAACCGAGACCGGATCGGTTACAACTCTGGATTACATAATTCTAACGATTTAACCTGTTCGAATGGACCATAAATATAATCAACTATCGCTGAATCCAACACAAAAAACATACAAACGAACATTTGAACTAAACACAACGTTGACATTTTTACTTTTCGTAGAGTGATTACTTTTTTAAATGATCTCGGAAAAAATAGCCAAAATATCGAGCTTTAAGTTCGATATCTTGACTATCTGTCGCCAGAAGAATATTTTTTTTCTCTACTGGAACAACAGGAACAATAAAATTAGAAAATTTGCTGAAAACTTGGAAATGTCAGTGAAATCTAATTTTTTTTACAACTTAAATAAATTTAAACATAAACAAACAATTCTCACAAGGTCACAATGTGTGTAGGTGTAGTGATACATTCGGAGCTGAGTCGTCTGATGCCCTATTTCCATCATAATCTCGTAAAAGTAAATTCGCGAAAATAGCATCTCTGTGAAAATGTTTGATGTTGACCAGCACTAATATCACTAATCGTTCATAGCGGATTTATGAATCCATAGTAAGTTGAATCAAATTCTTCATTGTTTAACTGTTTGACTAACAAACGTTCATCAGAATCGATGGTGGAAAGTTTTAAAATTATGAATTTCATCATTCCTTGTCTCAATTTATTGTTAACAGTTGGGGAGGATGAACATTTTCGAATTTTGAGGACTGTAAAAACAGATCGAGGTCGACGTTTCAAAGTTGTAGCAAAAGAACGACATTTACAAAAGAAACCAAGTAATAACGAACATTCAAGCGTACAAACAAATTAAATAAGAAAGATCACATACATACAACCATCAGGACGGATTCTTTATATTTTTGTGAGAAAATGAACAAAGTGTAAAAAGAAAATTTAGATATGTAAACGAAAAAACAATATTTCTAGCATAAAGAGAGTAGAATGAAAAATATAATTCTGATTGTAAAACAGCGGTAAAATATAAGTAAATATCATATCATTGATTACTTTTCATTCAAATTCAATGACAGTTTCCACAGTTCGGCACACACAGCTTGTTGTCAACCGCTCGACAACGACAACCACCGGATGTATCTCCTCTGCCTTTTGGACCCCATCTTGCTCCACCTAGGAAAGAAAAAGATAATCAAAGCATTATTAAACTCGTACGCTAACAAAGGTGTTAAAAGATGGCATCAACTATTGATTTAGACTTTTACACACAAATTTGTTTTAAATAAATGATCTTTTCTCAGTTGATCCATCTCAGATAGAATTTGCTCATATACATAATGTAAAATTTGTTGCGTTTATACTTCCGTATTTTTCGTAAATTTAAATAGCTAATTGTTAACATCTACCGAATCTAATTTGTTCTTACTATTTAAAGAGCTTGACCAGTCAACTTTGATATCGAAATGAAATTTCGTCGAGTTACCTTTTACACTTTATTTCTCTTATAACTTTCGAACGATAAGGTGCGCAGAGCATTTTGGAACGTCTCAACTTAAGGAGAAAAGTATGCAGAAGGTTTTTGTACAAAACATCTAGTTTTCAAAACGAAAAAACAAGACATTTTCTGAACAAAAGACCATATAGAGTGCGAGTACAAAAACTTTCAGTATACTTTTCTCTTTAATCTGAGACGTTTCAAAATGCTTTGCGTATCTTGTGGTTCGAAAATTATAAAAACAAATTGTAAATAAAAACTTCACAAAATTTCATTCCAATATCAGGATTAGTTGTCTAATCCGTAAAATCAGCATAACCGAAGATATCTTACGTGTTGGCCAGCATATTTCCATTTTACACATTGTACATTGTAACCAATCACAGCCGGATAATTTTTGAACAATTACTTTACAACCAGGACTAGATTGAAAATAAAAAGTATTTCATACAAGTATGCATATTAATTTTATACCCTACCAATGCATTGCTTCACCTTTTCGTATCATTTCCTATTTCAATTAATAAATCACGTGAATTTCCACTGAATCAAAATAAGAATACAACACACATACTTCAAGATGTTCTTTATCTTTTCGTGCATTAACATCATTTACAGCACGTATTTTTAAATCATCTTGATATTGTGCACATGATTGACCATCATGACGAGCATTGCACGTCATACATATCCAACTAGAGCAACCCTTAAACCATAAAATTGGTTTCATCACACATATATTCTTTCATACTAACTATCCGGCTTACTTCACAATAAACGATATTTTGTATTTGCTGTTCAATAAACCACCAATAAGCACAATTGGGAGTTATACAATGAAATGTTTTATGTCGAGATTCAGCCCATCGTATACCAATTTCTTGTAGACGGTCAACAATTTTTTGATCTCTACGCATGTCTGTCGCAATCTAAACTTATCAAAATGTTCTATCTATTAGAGAGAAAGAAGAAATCAATAGAGACACACACGTATAACTTACACCTCTCAATTCTCGTTCAGTAATATATTCTTGACAATCGTCATGTGGACATTTGATCAATGGACTATCTGACGTTTCAATAGACCGAATTACACAACGTCTAAAAATACGAACAAGAAACACACAATATATATTCATACATTGAATAGGTTTCAGTTAAATAACACATTTAGTTCTTTGAATAATAAATACTATAGTACAGAAATAAAACTGGATTTGTCATTTTTTTCTCAATAACAACGACTTTCAAAAAGACTTACTATAGAACTCCGCCTACGTAATGATAATTAATTAAATTTAATAAACATACTTGCATAACGGATGAAGGCAGTGATGGAATAAAACTCCTTTCTCTTTTCCAATTGTTTCACAACATATAATACAATCAAATTCTTCATTGTTTTTGTAATAAGCTGATTCTGTTAGCAGGCGTAAATCGTCTCGAAAAGCAGCTGAATCTTCAGAATATCGTGTCAATTGTTTTCCTTGTTCAATAACGAAATTCATATAATCTTGATTTGTCATATAAATTTCACCACATTCACCGCATGACTGCTCACCATTTTCATTATATTTTGCACATATCACACAATACCACTTTAATGGCTAGAAATAATAATAAATAAAATGAGACTAATTGTAAAAATATCAGGAGATTGAATCGCTTACATGTTCTGTTCTAGTTGAAGAAATTGAGCGTTCAACACCCTTTGGAATTGTGCAAGTATTGTTTACTGTTGGTGTTGGTGTTGTTGGTGGTGCTGCCGCAAGGAGATTCATATTTGTACTAGCTGATGTGTTATTAATACTTTCTTGCTTTATCTAAAACTAGAAAAAAATTTAGGGTAACGAAAAACGAAAATTTTTATGCTTCTCACCTTGCCATCTTTTACATTTAATAAATCACTTAATAAATCTTGTCTAAGAAGACTACAGGCTTTACACGATTTTCTCGTTGATTGATTGTAAGCGTGACACGCACTGCATTCCCAATAGGAAGACTAAATAAGCCGAAAAATAAGTTTAAGAGAAACATTACTGTACAGTGTCAGGTAAAATCAATGCCTGACCACTTTTTATACAAATGTTTTCAAGAAAATAATAACTGTTTTTCAAATTTCGTACATAACTTCCTATTCTGAAGGTTCAGAACGATCGAATTGTCGTGAATGAATAAATGCAAAGAAAAATTATAATAAATCGTACTAGAGAGCTGATAATCACTAGTGGTCAAGAAATATTCATCTGTATAAGAAGATTCATCGAGTTATATCAAATGAAAATTCTCTCAGTTAAAACGATGAACAATTTATGACAAGAAATTTTAACCTTGTTTCGTTTTTGAAGCAGTTATATGCAGCTTGTTTGATCTTCCTCAAGAAGAAAAGTCTGCTTGATCGCCAACTTACCACAGGTTTAATACTCGTATCATTCTGAGTCTGAAAGAGAAAAAAGGAAGAGTAATGATCCAGTCATTTTCTATCCTAAAACATGCACTTACTTTACCGGTTTGAGCAGCCATAACGGCAGTTTAAACTTAACCCTTCTGAATTCTGAAATAAAGAATTGAAAATTTGTGCAGCATTCACAAAAGTAGAATGATCCGATGGCAAAGATGTTACTAGATGAGATATGAATTTTATTCTGTGTGTCTAATATGTAAATATGACACTCTCACACAGTGGGCAATCGCGTAGACATTAGGTGGAAAAGCAAAAATGTTTTTTCAAGATTCAAATAGTGTGAAATATACTTCAGTCTACGAGCTGTCTAATGGTATAAAAATTATCGTTCCAAGTATTCAAATTTGGGAAAAAACACATATGAGCAAAAAAATAACCTAAATACTGGTGACCAGCCACAAAGAAAAATTTTCTTTTTATTGAATTATCCTGATTTAAATTTGTAAACACTACTTGTTCTACTGCAGACTCTTTTAACTATCGATCAGTGAAAACATTTTCCACTTTGACTCTACAATCTACGAGAAAAATTTTTTTTTTCTGAAATAACTCTTTTCATTTTCCGGATAGGCACCTAGAGTGTAATGAAGTATCCAAAGCCATCCAAGATTGAATCTAGCTCAAAGTTATACGAAAATGTTCGTGGTCATGTGCTGCATCTATCGTGCATGTAATTTTCCCACTAAGCTTAGATATAGGTTTTCCAAAAAAGCTCGGATTTTTTTTTAGGTGAAATCTAGTTTTTACGGCTCAAGAACATTTCTATTAAAAAATAATGATATAATAGAAATCAGTACACAAAACTGGATCGATGTGCATCTGAAGCATTTCTGAAGAAAAAAATCTCAAACTCAATGTTATGAACTAAAACAACAAATATCATAGAATAAGTCAAAACTCTGCAAAATTTTAAAGTATTAAGTGATTTGGCTTCAACGACCAAGGGGTGGTGAGCACTAACTCGTTTAAGAGTTTTAAAAATTTTTTCGATCACGACATTGAAAGAGCTCCTTCAAAGCCTACAAACATCGGGTTTACAATTTTCAAGTGTTTTCGTATAACTAAGTTTTCTAGAAATCCAGATTTATCAAAAACTCGCCAAAGGAGCTCTTAAAATTTTTTTGTTAATAAAAATGGAATCAGCACAGGTGAAAAGATATAGAAAATAGATTTCTCGAGATTAACACCATTTGTTCATGCCCTCGGTTTTTCAAAGACCCTGGATTTCTGGAAAACACAGATGAAAGCATTTTTGAGTTTTTCAAAGCACACTATTGGAAAGAGTGCGTCTGAAAACCTATCTAAAGAGTGTTCATAGACTTTTTTTTTGCGTTTGTAGTACATGTCCATGGGACTGGCCCACGATACTAGTCAAAATTGCCCACTGTGTATCGTGAATATTTCTGTTAAAAGGATACAATCTTAAAGAATAAAAGGTGGATACGATAGTCCATCAGAAAAGAGATAAAATCCAACATTGATCGGCACACAACACTGTATTTCTTATCTTGAGTTCATAAAAAAAAACTTATCACAAAGAAAACAAATATCATTCCTTATAAAGAGAAAAAGGACAGCACGTATATAAAAATAAAATTGTCAATATAGAAAAGAAAGTTTACAGTTCAAATTATAAGGAATATACATGTGGCTTGTGCAGGACAAATAAAAGTATGCAAAGTTTTATTCTTGACGAGATGCATGACATGATATACATCTCATCTCGTTACCTAGATTGTTTCTTCTACATTGTTGACATTTCCAAGGTTCCTAAACAATAAAGAGAATTTTAAGAAATTATAAGAAAAATTTTCAGTCTACAAAATGTAAAATACAGAACCTTGCTGCTACGACAACTATTTATCTACTCGCAGTTACTCACTTAGTGTAGTTCGATACCGTGAAAAGTAGAAATAAGAAAAACTGATAAGAAAATCAATTTTCGCCATTACAAATTAATCATTACAGATATTTAGTCTATAAATTCAAGACATGCAACGATGATATTACAACAGCCATAATGTTTTTAACAAACCTACAGTTAGTAAATTTAGTAAGCTAAGTTTCACAAGACATAGATCGCCTAGAATTTACCTACGGAACTTGTCACTCGCGGAATTGCTAAATGATAGTAAAGCTCAAGAGATTACAAGTGACACATAGAAAGACAAGTAGAAGTCATATTTTACAATATCACTCTAAACTAAAGTAAAATGCTCTTAAAAACTGATTAAATTCAAATGGACCTCTGTCATCATAGAATCTGCATACACGCAAAGATAGGATTCCAAGCTCAGCGAAAATTTTGGTTTAAATGAACAAATATTAACGTACATTATTATTGAATACTTTTGGCTGAGTTACTACAAATAGTATTAATAATGAGTTCGGACCAACATTTAAATCCGTCATAGTGGCATTATCATATGCTAAACCACCATTAACAAACCAGTATTGATCTTGGATAGGATGCAACTCTTCAAACTAAAAGAAAAAATAGAAAAAAACAGTTAAGTTTTAATATAAACAAAAGGATTGATAACTCTTGAATTTTACAACATAGAGCAACAGCTCATTTTAATACGGACCACAGCACGTAATTCACGAATTGTCGTTGATGGATAAACAAAATATTGAATATTACCACCATTCTTCTGTAATGGATACTCATTTCCATCAAACTGAATTTGAATTCTAAAACAGAAAAGAGCTAAAAGTGTAAGAATCAAAAAATTTAAAGATCGCTCTTACGCAATCTCTTGTTCACTGTGTAATTTCCATGGTTTAGATGTAAGGTGTACTGCCCGTTTAGCTAAATCTTCTGCTATTTTTGCTGCATCATCACCTTTTCCATTCTGGATACACTCATTTAGTTTTCGAATCTTAACTAAAAGTTCTAGAAACGAAATAAATTTGTTGTCATTCATTTAGAGCATCGAGAACATTATAATACCTTCTCTTTTCTACTGAGGATTTTCCCACTGTTAATGACTTTCAGAGCTCAAAAACGTTTTTGTCAGCCGTATACTCTTTTCATTTAAACTATTTCATCTATTGAGAAAATGCTTAAAAAAGATCAAAACACTTTCTGTTATTATATTTTACTTGATTTATATTCTTCTATTATCTATCTAGCTCAAACCTATATAGTTAAACAGGATATGATTTTTTTTTATCCATTAAAAAATGAGAACACAACTACTGAAAAACTAGGTCCCACCACTTGGTTAGCCAAAGTTAGCACGAGTCCAGAAATGATTTTCCTGGACAGCAATGACCGAAAGAATTGACTACATGAATCCATTGGATAATTTAAAACGTTCTCTGGACGTTTGGATCTTTTCTCTGTCCCTATACAGTTTTCGATGACTTCCTCTATCCCCTTTATATAGACTAGGTCAACATATTGTAGGCATGAAAGATAGAGGTTAAACAGTACAATAGTGCACTCAATATAAATCATATTGCTCTTAGGGACTGAATTTGCATAACTAACGTATCTCACCTCTCCTACTACTATTTAGAAAAAAACGAATGCATACTATTATCCTCTTCTTTTGGTAACAGTGGCGAAATTGGTTGTTGTCCATCTGGTGTAACTAATGTATCTAAAAGGTTGTGTAATATCGTATGAAAATTATCACGTTGAGCAGCATCCAATGTTATAATATATGTTCCATCTTTTGTTTTGATTTCATCTGGACTTTCAGCATCGGACCCGAAATGATATTGATTACGATTAGTTAATGGAATAAGAAATATTATCTAAACCCAAAGAAGTTTGATAAAATATTAAGTGAAATGGAGAACAATTTTAACATACTTCTTTTTTGTCCATTTCTTGACCACGTAGAACATATTCATCACTCGACTCACGTAATTCGATCAATGAACGTTCCGGATACTCTTTCGTTTGATTCCCATGCTTCGGCTCAAAAATAATTTTTCCACGACTGTATGCAATAGACATTCTAAAAGAAAAAAAACCTCAATTAATAATATAAAAGCTGTTTCAAATACGAAGATTAGCAAGTAAGTTTTCGACAATCTTTAGACCAGATGAAGTGGATATTAAAGTATCAGTTTTTGATATGTCTCAGAAAGAAAAATAGGAAAGCGTCATCTGTTAGAAAACTGAATAGTTTACTGAAAAAACACAAACTGTTAAAAAAAAACACTTTTTGGGAACTAGATCATAAAACTCTCAACTCTAATAGATCTTAGCTTCCTATTTTCTTCAGAGAATCTCATCTAAAGTAGAAAAAAATGAACAAATATTAATGTGAGAAATGAGACAGCGGCTATGTTTTATCATACGTTAGCCTCTAGTGCCCAACATTACAATTAATTATTTTACGAGAAGTTTGTAAAAAACATTTGTTTACTTTTGCGGTATTCAACTATTTGGGCGTATTTATATTCCATCTAATCGACGTAGAACTAATAAGACTATAAATTTAATTCTATTGCTACCAGTACAACAATCGGTTCCTTAAGGTAGTGATCGTCTTCTTATGATGTATTGATCATATGCAACCTTTCATTCAAAATATAGCGCTTCACATATGTAGCTGAAGTAAAACATCAATTTTCCTAGCACCTTACAGATTTCACTGAAACTGTGCATATCGTGTTTGTAAACAACAATTTTGTTTATAGAACTGTCTCAAGGAATATACGCGAAATTTTTTAAAAACTTTACTTTTATATACATCGCAATTTTTTTGCCCTAATCTAAAATATATTGTTCCTTGAAGAAGTAACTGAGAAACACTGAATTTATTTGACAAACCATGTGTTTTAGAAAATCCATAACTTAGTATCGATTGAAAAATGTATAGAGTTGCATATTCTATATGTTTATATATGCACTGGATGGCGTTTCCCAGATACTATCTAAAATACGCTGTGAACTTTTCTGTGATTTGCTGTGGCAGGTTGGTAATCTAACGTAAATCTAAAAAGTTTTCTGAAGATTCCAGAGATCTAAAAATATTTCTATATTCAAGATTAAGACTAAGACTAAGCGAACGCAACTCAACACAATGCGAACGCTGACCGAAGGGAAACGTGAGTAGCCAGAATAGCTGAAAAATGCTGTGAACTTCCCTAATTGCACGAAAAAAGCGTGCAATGTAATATAACGCTAAAACTTTTTCTGAACACCCTCTAAAGATTCCAAGGGTGCTGGAAGTATCTCTGATCCATTCCCTATGATACAGGATCTATATTCTGTAAATTTTATTATTCACAGACGACTGTGGTCATCGGTTATGGGAATAATCCAACCACTTAAGGGACATAGTAGAATTCATGATAGAGGTCCATGTAAGATGGTAAAGGGAGAGAATGATTGGAGAAACAAGAAATATAACTATAACACCCAAACTTAAGATATTTTAAGGATTTTTCCCTAGAATTTGTGGATAATTAATGGAAATGAATTAAATTGTGCCGTTTGTAGCCACCGGTCTTTCTCGCCGTATCAGTAGATATGTCAGGTCATCACTCTGAATAATATTTTCTCTCTCGTGGTTTAAAAAAAACTGTCTATTTTTCTTCCGTATGATTGGCTTATCCATGGAATATCTGACAGCCATTCTTTTTATATTTTGTGCAAGACACACACACACAAACAGATCCTCACCCTCAACTAAAGTCAAGGAAATAATAAAAAGAAAATATAATCGCAGTAAAGCTAAACAAATCAAGTTTCAATTTCAAATTCTCTGTGGGTCTTTCTTCACAAGTGGAAAGAATGTCAACACATCTTTGGCCTGTTATTGAAACATCGCGAGTGAATTTACTTTGGTTTCGGCCGTTGCAACCTAGTACGTAAAATGTACAGATCATTTTGGAAAATCATTTCTGTAGAAACTTATTAGAAAGATAGGCAGTGAATAATGTATACTATCCTAATCATATTAACTATAGAAAAATGACAAGATTTTTGTTCTGTTTTTAGTCAAAGAAGACATATGCTTAGCAAAACTTGAAGAAATGATCGATATTGAACGTCGCCGTTTTACAGACAAAGGTATATATTGTTATCATTTGATAGAACGGTTTGAACTATCAGAATACAGAAACATTAGAAGTATTTAAGACGTTTTTAATTTATATGACAGATGATTGAGGAGGAACGAGTGTTTGAATCAAAGGACGGGGGCGCATCAGAGGGAAAATCGGTCCACTCGGATTTTTTCATTTTCAATGACTAAATTTATTAGAAAAGATATGTTTCTGTTATCCTCTGTCATTCTTGAGCGAAAAAAGTAAAAAATAGGTAAACACCATCCTGCCGCCCCATTTAACTAGTAATTTAATTATTTCTCTTGACTAAACTCGTAGATAAGATTCATTCGACCATTGATCGATAGATGATAAAAAACTGAGTTGAAAGATATCCAAATCATATCTTCACTGCTATTTGTTAAACAATGGCAGACCAAACTTTTATATGGTCAAATACTTAATCGGATACAGAGTCACAAAATTT